AATTATAACTCACCATCAGTAGGCACGTCAGGAAGACTAAACGTATCTTTTTCTTTCCTTAACGATTTCCATTGAGATTTCAAGATTTCGGTCCTATCTAAAGCCTTTTTCAAACCGGCTGTACTTTTTCAATCTGACGCTAATTTCTTTGCTATGTAGGAGTTTTCTGGATTGATTACGATTCAGTTTGCCATTTCTTCGATGTATTCTATGTTAATTGGGACCCACATATATTTCCATTTTCGTATTGTTTACATGCGTATGTTTCTCAAGTATTATTTTACATGGCCATGAATTAAGTATGATCTTCACTTAACTTTTAATTCAGACAATGGTCGGCAGGTAAGGGACCGGTGAAAGATCTGTACACAGTTGCAGAAAATCCACAGTATTCTTTAGAATTAAACAACAAGTCTGGTACTTGCTCTGTTTGGATTCTTCTGTCTCGTCATATAACTGACAGAGTTAGTTGCAATTTATTCTTTATGTAAGTGCATATGAGTTTTGATTTATGAAACATTACTTCCTGTATGCTATTTTTGGCAATCTCAGAGGCTCTTATTTTTAATTTTTCTAATCGGTGGTATATCAAAACTACAGGCCACTTATTTGCAGGAGGACTTTGCAAACAATAAAGAATTTATAACCGTCATTGTTTACAAGTCGGGCAAGAAAATCTATTTTCCAGGTATCCTTTCAGAACTCACTAACTGTTCTAAATTCGTAACATACTTATTAACTTACAGCCATTAAAACTGTTTTAGCCGATCCGAAACCAATTATGGATCCTATCCGCATTAATAGTCCTCATTTCCTTTGCCAGTTTCTTGTCAAGGAACCCGGTATTCAAAAGTACACATTAGTAGTTGCTCAGGTAACCTCGCTTGGCTACTTGTTGGCACTGTCTTTTAATAGCACATTTACTTTTATAGTGCGAGCTCACTGTTTCATTGCTTTTATTATTGAAATATGCACAATAATTCGCTTTTTTTTAGTATGAGAAAACGAATACTATATACTACACTCTTCGTGTATATTCGACGGCAGAATTCAAACTTAAGAAAATGAAAGTGCCATATACAGTGCATAAAAGGGTATTTTTCTTATTAACACTTATTTAATAGAAGATTGTCGTTACCAAGTCTTAAATTGTAGGAATGTGGCGAATGGAAAGGAAGAACTGCTGGTGGATGTGGTAACGGACTAAGTAGAGAAACATACAAGTTTGTTCAACATTAAGTTCCGTTATAAATGTTCCCTGGAATTTCGTAATTTTTCCAAGACCTAGTATATGAAGAAGTTTCATTTTTTTCTACCTACCATGATCGCCGTGAAATTTTTTTTAGATAACTCAGTAGCCTAGTGCATTTATTCATTTTTGCTTAGGAATAACCCTATATATCATGTCTCGTTGGATGATGGCAGTGATGATAATAGCTTGTTAATTGAGCTCAAAGGCCCTAAAAACTTCAGTATAGGATTTGAAGTGAAGCAAGTATCGTCCGCTAGGCAAAAGAATTTTGAAAAGAAAGATTCGGGAGCGTTTAGGTAACCAGTTTCTTTAGATATTTTTCTATCATTCTTTGACCAAATGGAGGGTCAAGAGCAGCCTTCATTATGTTTAATCCAACTTAAGGCCTGGGTATACAATACTGGCACTGGAGTCCGTTCCCGCGGGAGTGTACAGTATTCAGCCTATGACATTTATACAAGGTCAGGAAGGTCCGTTCTTCCTGACAGTTGAAAGTTCTTGTGGATTCACTATGAAGAGAACTCAGTAATTCCGCTGGTTTGTCTTTCTTGTCTAAGTAAGGTTTTTTTTTTTTGGCATTCTATTGCTTCAGAGATACCACTTACTAAGCATTATATTAATTTTTCTTCAGCTTCTTCATTTCTTTCGCATTATCTTTAAATAGTAGCGACGAGTTGTTAAGTGATTGTCTTGTTTAATTGCCTCTCAGTACCTTGCAATTTCTTGTTTGTGGATCGGTCTATGGGAAATGTTCTGCTAGTTTCTCTACCTAGGCTTGTATTATATTTGTCAAAAGTAGACTTGTACCTTTCTATACGGCAACAAAATTTCTTTAAAATTCTGATGATTAGAAAATACTCAAGAATAGAAATGCTCATTAAAATATCACTAGTTTTCAATGATCAATTCATTAAATCTTAAAGTTTTTTGCCCGTAATACTTTCTTCTAACAAATCGTGACTGATTGCTTTTACTCCCAATGTGAATGTAATGGTGTTACCGATTTGTACCGCAAATTAAGATTTCCATTTTTTGCTACAAAAGCTGCAATAACGTTTTTTGCCATAAGTGTGTTAAAAAAATGGTTGAAAATGAGCGAGTCTTCAATGGACGTTAAATGCATCTTGCACTGTATATCTCTCATACACTGCTAAAGGTCTTTTCCGATGTGGATCTGTCTCAGTTTGGTGGCCTCATCGCCTGTATCGGTTGTTATGAAGCAGAGGCACATTTATTACGATTACTCTTCACTGGCTGAAAAGAAAACGGGGCTATTAAACGGAAGGGGCTCTTCCGATAATCTCGTTTGTATTACTAACTGTAAAAAGAAAGAGTAGAAATTGGTTCTTCTTTTTTGTTGTTGTGGGTTCGTTGCCACAGTTTTCTTCTTCTGCCCGCTGTACTATCTTCTACCAGTAATTCTTCTTACTGATGACAGTTGAGACGGATTGGTCCTCTGAGTCAGGTACCAAGTCCCAGAGATTTGTTCCTCTTTTCTTCAGTATACCCACAGATTCCAGTAAACCTGTGAGTTAATATAATGCCTGCCACGCGGGACTTATTGGGTTCAAAACGTTTATTCCAAACCTCAAACTTGGGTAATTAAACCATGTTAGTATTAACAAAGTTATACCAAAAGGTTACGGGTTGTACATTAACACATTAACGAACAGAACAGAGCGATATAAGCATGTATACAAGAAATATTAGTCAAGCATACATTTGTAACTAATATTACGAGAAAAATAAAGAGAGAGGTTGATGAGGAACAAAGCTCAAGAGCATGATGAATTATTGCTACGATTAATCTGTATATTCTGACCGTTATGAATCTGTATGGATTTGAAAGCTGTTACTGTAAACAATAGTTTTTAATGATCATTGTTGTTTACAGTTGAGTTTATCCTCCTGTGCCCTGGTCGTTAACCATCTGGATGACCTTACTATTTTTCCTCATTATCTCTTTTCTAAACTCGCCTTTCAGCGACACTAACCTTGCTGTCATTAAGTGCTTCTGACGGTTAACTTAAAGGCATTTTAAAAGGCCTGTAACAGAAATCGTATTGCGTTTGCAACGTATCAAAAACCTTAAAACATGTAATACCGTGAAAATCTTGAAAGCAAAGGCCTCGAAAAGTAAATTAGCGCATTTTGCGCCCATGGACTCCAAACTGGAAAGGTTTTTTTTGTAGATAGCAGTTTTGAGGCACTTGCGCACTGATTTATAAGCGTTCTTTTGTGTAAATGACCGAACTGCTCATTACAGCGGAGTGGACGCTGATGATCATTCAAAATAGGTTTCCAACCTTTTTGACATATGACATAGGGCACAAGAGTTTAGGCAAGAATAATCTGTGAAAATAGTACAGGACTTCAGTCCCAGTAGAGTGAGATAAATAAATTCGCGACTGTTGCAGATTAATGCTACAACAAGGCTTCCCTAATGAGTGGAAATGTGGGCAGAAATATCACGAAATTCAGGCAAAATTGAACATTTGATCATAATGCACAATTAATTTTGGACAAAACAATTCTATACCTTCCTGCTTAAAAGAAAAGTGTAAAGTTTTCAAAACAATAGCCAAACTGATTCAGAGTAAATCAAGTTCATTAGCCATTAGTCTATTTTTATACGGGATGAGTTATTCTAATTTCCATGGTCCAAAAATTATTTCGATTATTACTTTTTATTAGAACTGGCAAATTTCTGTTCTCCGTTCTTCTTATTTTTTGAATTACGTCAGATTCATAGTCTACTATTCTGTCTCCGGAGATCTAGTAATTCCAAATTTAGTCTGTCAGTTCCATTTATGTTTCAATTATTGTTCTTCTTTGAAGACTTTTAAATTTAATTTTTTGATCTGTGCTGTTTTCGAAAATAGAGGATTTTAGTTTTCCCGTTGAACTAAGTGTGGTTTTTTAATTGGAGAATTTTGTGCTCTATATTTGATGTTCATTGTGACGAATTGCGAGTATTTTGTCCTATTAGTAAATAAGACTTAAAAAAGCCTTGAGGAGTAAGCTTAAGAGTTGATATAAGAAACTTTAATTTTACAGAAGGGAGAATTACTGCAGGAAAATCCAATAAAAAAAACTTAAATTTATTGCCAATTGGAATTCGCTAGAATTTTCGTACAAATTTATTCCAATTATTGGCTTAAATTTGGTATAAGTGAGTCAAAGTTCCAAAAAAGTTTGAGTTATTGTGTCTCATTAGATCGGATTCATCAACAATGTTACTAGAAACAAAGAGTTTTAACTGCTGTTAATCTGTAACAAGAGATTTACAGTAGAGAGCAGGTATACAGTGAACGAAGAGTCGGGTGAGTGAGAATGGAGCACAACTGAAGGTGAAAAGATGAGAGGGAAGGTGAGGATGGGGAGGTAAGGAAGGTAAGAGGAATGACAAGGTGGACATATAAGGTGTGGTGGGAAGCTGCGAAATAAGAGGACAAGGAAGAACGATGGAGCAAAGGAGCAAAGAAGAACTATGGACGGCTAGTCAAGAGTAATAAGTTAGAGGGAGATGAAATAAGAAGATGGGAAGTATGAACAAAAAGATTAATAAGAAAGAAGGAAGAAGGAACAGGGGGAGAACGGAGGTGGAAGAAAAGGAGTGGTTTGAGGTGAGTTAGAGCAGGATAAGAAGTGCAGGAAACGGGAAACACACGAATAGGAATGAAAGGAGGAGGACCGAAAAGTCGCGAAAACAAGGTTGAGGCTGGAGACTGAAAAGCAGAAAGACGGGTACAAGGAGAGGAAAGAAAGAGTAAAGAAAATAGAGAGAAGTGAGTGAGAAAATGAGGATGACCGGAGATGGAAAAGGAATAAATTAACGGTAAGGAAGGGGGAAGAGAAGGTATGGAATAAAAAAGTTAGAAAGAAAACTGATTTATGAACCACAACTTTGTATCTACCTACGCTGATTTTGGATGACTGATTACTGCAAACGCTTGCTAGCTACAGCTCTGAACTTTCGATGAAGGTTTGTGGACTCAGAAATTACCTCAGCGCAACTCTGTGCCCTGCAGGGATGGATCTACTCCGCCAGCAAGCCTGGGGGTGAATGAAAGAATATGGAATACTTTTAAATCGTATACTTCGCTTAAGAACTGCAGCTTATAGAAGGCGCACAAAATTCACGTTTTAAATGCCTAGAAAACTGGCACGAAAAAAGTGGTGCCTTCCGAACTAACTTTTCTGGATTTAGAAGGCTATCTCCGTTACACCTTTCAGCCAATCTTATACTTTTGTGGCTCTACAATCTGCAACTGGAGCTCTGCAGTACTAAGTAACTGAATCTGCAGAATGAAGTCCGCTCTGACTCCAGAGGCTTCTTACCCGGAACGTTTCTCGCGTCTACACTTATTCCCCCTACCTCAGATTAGCTAGGAACCTTTCAGTTCCAAATATTTGTAGATGCCAAAAAGCGTGAAATCGTATAACAAAGACTCCTGTGCAAAACTTCCTGCTGACTGAAAACTTTAGCTGAGTGTTTTAAAGGTTAGTAACCCAGTCAGCGAATAACTCCGACAGGAAGTTTATCTGTTGTTTGACACTGGTACCCAGAGGTTGTTTATGACGGATAAATCACCAAAGGTCCTAAATGAACCAATAACTGGTAACGACCAGTTAAAACTTCACACATTCGCAGCACCCGACTCTGTTAAATTTACTCTCCCCAAAGCAGAAATGAATCTGCATCTCATTAATGGAAGATATCGCACGTTACGTCTTTATTTTATTACCAGTATGACTACCCAAATTGGGTACTCGAATACAAGACAGTTGCGGAACGACTGTAGCAGGTGAAGAAGTTGAACCAGATATTTTGATCTGGAGTCGATTATTGTTGGGATCTGATAGACCTAGGTCTCAAATCGACATCAGACGGACTCTTCATAATTCCAACAAAGGTAGGCAAAATCTTAACAGGAAAGCAAGATCAGGAAAAAGACATCGTTTCAAATAGTATAATAGCATGTCATACTATGCCATTGGCTATAGAAAGGTTTTGGGATGTGGAATCATTGGGAATCAAAGAGTCACCAGAGTCTAATGAAGACGATGAAGCTTTGCAACAATTCTATTGGACTTTACAATATAAAGATAATTGTTACGTATTAAATTGGCCATATAAAGGTTTGAATAAAGTCGTTTCAGACAACTACCAGTTATGTTATTTTCGGTTGAAAAGTGTGCTCAATCGCCTAAAATTTGACAATCTTTTGGTCAAATATAACGATATAATAAAAGGACAGTTACCTGAAGGCATTATCAAGGAAGTCAAAAGTAATCAAGAATGCTCTAAAGTTTCATGTCTTCCCTATCACCCAGTGGTGACTCCAGGTAAACAAACTACCAAGGTTAGGATTGTTTATGATGCTTCCGCAAAATCAGGTACAAATACACTAAGCTAGAACGAAAGTCTCTATAGATGATCAGTCATGTTACCTGAATTATGTGGTATACTGCTGCGATTCCGAACCTTTACTTACGGCGTCATTGCAGATATTGAAAAGGCCTTTCTTCGAATAGAACTCCATAAAGAAGATCACGACATGATAAGATTTTTATAGTTAAAAAATACTTGTAATGGGCTGTGCCCAGAGAATCTTATAATTTATAGATTTAGAAGAATCGCGTTTGGTATAATATCTAGTCCATTCCTTTTGACCGCTATTGTCACACACCATCTAAGAAAAGAGGCGGAAGAAATGCTGAAGAAATGAGATCAAAGGGGAGTAGATGTAACACAAAAATTAATTAATCAAGCTTATGTGAATAATTTGATTCAAGTGTAAGCACAAATGAAGAAATCGAACAGCTATATGTGATGGTAAAGGAACTTTCTAAAAGAACATCATTCAATGTGAGGGCTTGGGCATCGAATGTCCCAGGGTCTCATAAATTTGTTTCAGATAACGACCTCAACAATATACCATCTCAAAAGGTGTTGGGAATGACATGGCAGACAGAAACGGGCAAACTAGAGCTCTCCTTTTATAAGGATATAAGACCAAACGGAAAGAAAACGAAACGTAGTATTAGTCCAATCGTTATGGAAAAGTCATTCACTTGAGATGAATATCTACCAGAAGAAATTCAAAACGAACGGCAAGAAATACAACAATCGTGGAATATTACAGAGAAGGCAGAAATGTCGAGAAAGGAACGGACAGAATGCAGACCTTCGGTTATGCGGAAAGCCACTGTTTCATTGTTAAGTGGTATCAGTATTTTACAGAAAATACATGCAATTAACGATTTAAGTACCTGGAAACTCTTCAACGTTAATCCTCAGCACTGATTGATG